GTGATTTGGTACTCAAATGTTGAATACTTACTGTTTTTGTTACTCTTGTCCTAAATTTGTTTTTAATATTGTCTAGCCAAATTCTCTTGCAGCCCTTGTTTCCTGGCGAAAGTGGAGTTGACCAGCTAGTTGAGATCATTAAGGTGAGGATGTCAATCTAGTTCTGTGGAGATTGCCATTTTCTATTACTTTGAATATTGGATTAAAACTGTGAAACAAAACCATCAGGGTTGAGAATATGAGTTCGCTTCCACTCTTTTTGGGTTGAGCCTGGTCATCCTACGTTTAATCAACTACCATAAACTGTTATTCCTTAGAATGCCATTTGTTTTGGTGGTGAAATCTTCTAGGATTTAAAAGTATAAAGTTCTCTAGTCTTTAAGAAGCAGTTGTTATCTTGATATGCTTTCAAATTTCGTAATTATGAAAAGGGGAATGCTCAAATAGACGTACGGTTAATCATACATTTTTGTGCAGGTTTTGGGGACTCCAACCAGGGAAGAGATAAAGTGCATGAATCCAAATTACACTGAATTTAAATTCCCACAGATAAAGCCTCATCCCTGGCACAAGGTGTGTCTTTGCACGTACTCTTACATTATTCTTAGATGTATGCTTCTGACTTCAAATTTTATTTTAGGTGTTTTATCCAAAATGGTCATTGAGATTGGCATAACTCCTCACTTTGGTCCCTAAGATTTAAAATCGATAGAAGTGGTCCTTGAGATTGTCTATCATCAATCATTTGATCCTCCTGTGAGAAATCTCCGTAAATTGAGAGTATTTTTGGCAAATCAACCCCTCCCATGAACTGGTGGTTTCTTCCCTTTAACAGAAATTTTTCACAAAAGGACCAAAATGATTGACAGAAGCTAATCTCAGGGATCACTTTTATTGATTTTAAATCTCAAAGACCAAACTGAGGAGGTATGACAATCTCAGGGACCATTTTGGCTAATATATTTAAGATGAATGGGCGTGCAGAAATACTGTATAGGTGGACCTGGCAAAGTGGGGTTGCAATTTTCTTGAAGATGGAGACTATTATTCATAGATTTTTAATTATGAAATCATGGTCATGACACATAGGTGTTGAAGGTTAAAAATTCTGTATGGGGCCAAGTCTTGCATTAATAGTTTATAGCTTGGATTTTGAAGTTTGAAAATTCTGTATGGGGCCAAGTCTTGCACTAATAGTTTATTTATAGCTTGGAACCCTATGTTGTTTTTTTCCTTAGGTCGATATGATAATTTTCTTGATTGTCATTCGGATGCTCAAATAAACTCGTGAAAAGTAACTGCTTAATCATGAATCTTTGACTGCCTTAACACATCTTCTGCCAAATTACCTTATCTAATGCAGAACGCCGTATGCCTGTTCCCATTGATGTGATATTTATATCCATCTCATATGCAGCTTCCATCATTATTGCTGTTGTTCACTTAGCTTAGTGATAATCTATTGCTCTAAAAAGGAAGGAATTATTTATTATGGAGATTAACCATGATATTCTTGTCATGTTGCAGGTATTCCAAAAACGCTTACCCCCAGAGGCAGTAGATCTTGTTTGTAGGTTTTTCCAGTATTCCCCGAATCTGCGATGTACTGCTGTAAGTATGACTTTCAATTTAGTTTCCTTAAGTAAAAAAAATAAAAAGGGAAAGAAAACAATTCAGCGCTAATTACTTTTTTGCATTGGTTTTGCAGTTGGAAGCTTGCATTCACCCTTTCTTTGATGAATTGAGAGACCCAAATACTCGTCTTCCTAATGGTCGTCCTCTTCCTCCTCTATTTAACTTTAAACCCCAGGGTGAGTTTGATCTTTATCCTTTACATAAACGCATAATACCATTTCAGTTTTCTAGAAATTTTTATGGAGATTGCTGGGATTGGCTTCATGGTGATTACGATAACTGCAAGTTCATTAATCTGATGTGAATAAAATGGCTTGATTATGTCTGTTAGAACATTACATCCAAGAAATTTTTTATTTGGGACACACCCATATAAGCCTTGAAAAGCTGTGAACAAAACTAATTATGGGAGAAAGGTTGTTTTGTGCTTTTCTGATCTTTCGTTTAGTGGTATTCTCTCTAGCTTATTAACTTGATTACCACATCTATGTGAAGTAATAGCTATAGTCCTACATATTTTGGTATAGTTTAGAAGATAGATTTTGTTTCTCTAACACCTTTGTATTCTGTGTATTAATTAGATGGCATTAGGCATTGAGCCACTTTGGGCCACATTTAATAGGGATAGACGTGGTTCCCATACGTTGTAACGAGTGAGATATATTCTTGTCCTTGTTCCCTGTCTCTGTCTGGAGTCCAACTCCTTGTTTCTATGTGTACACTTGTGTCATGTGTTTTGTTCCAAACTACTTTTTGTTCAGAGTATAAGTCAAAGCACTCTGAACTCTGTCCAGAGAGGAAGTTCTGAGTTTTAGATGTTACAACTTACAACCATGTTCTAAGGTTTGGGGTATTTACAATCGTTTTCTCTTATACCTGACCAATTGATTTTCGGTCATGCTCCTCAGTCCCATAGTTTTTGTAGGTAAATTATGTCAAACAGTTGAAATCACACCAAGGATAGGTAGGCAACTCGTATCTATTTGATTTTCCTTAAGCAGACAGTATGACCAAGAGGGGATACACTAGTTGAAAACAGATCTACAAAAACCCAAGGGGAAACATTTTTTGTTCGTGTTCTATAAATGTGCATTTTTGCATCCACCACATTTTTTATGTTTGGATTCCATGTTTCTAATGCTCCTTTTTTGTTTCATTCTATTCGCTTTGATAGAGCTTCAAGGAATTCCACATGACATAGTCAACCGACTTATTCCAGAGCATGCCCGTAAGCAGAACTTGTTCATGGCTTTGCACACCTAGCAACTTCCACGAGCGTATCTTGCTTCTGCGTACCGTTCCACTCCCGTATGGTCCTGTATCAACATATGTAAAATCTCTCTACCATTTTACTAGTCATCATTTGTCCTGTGATCGTGAGTAGTACGAGTGTTGCAAAAGTTCGCGAAACAATTTAGGAAAATCCAAGGCTTTAAGTTTGCATGCGGATAGAGGTGGTTTTGTATGCTTATTTGAAGACCAAATATAACTAATATGTATGTTTATTGCGATTCCCACTGCAAGTAATTTAAGATAAAGACCGGTAATATATATACGCAAAGAGTTCCTTTTTTCCCTTTCCTTGGTGTACGGTTGAACTTCCTTTTCGTTCGCTGTAATTTGTTTAATGTTTTGACTCCGTCTTTGTGCTTTCAATTTGAACAATGTGAATCTTGCGTTTCCTGAGTTACGTTGATGTTATGCTTCCTCAAACCAAAACGATAATAGCTTCTACGCGTGATCTTCGTTCTTGATTTTTGACATGAATGAAGTGTCTACAAGATGGACAGAACGGAGTGTGTACTTGGATCGGCTTTGCACTGTTCGAATTTGATCGTGTTCTCTTCTGAATGAGCTTTTGATATTGGAAACTCAGCTATGCACGAAACCTCATGCGCTCCTCTCTTCCGGTGGAGTGAAAAAGTATCTTCCAGAGGAGCGAAAGATACTTTTTTGAAGTGTTAATAGCAGCTCGAGGGAAAAAAGAAAACGTAGATATGCTTTTGGCTTCTTTATCTGCTTCCATTAGAAGGCTGTTTGGATTCTGAGGAGCATTGGAGAGCGTTAATTATGGGGAAGGAAGCATGGCAATTGCAAAAGGAACGCAATGATTTTATTTACCCCAGTTTACGAGTGCAAGATGAAAACTACATGTATTTGAACCGGGCGACAGAAAGGAGGAAATAACATAAAAATACCTTTTGCTTGTTTTGGTGGCAAGTAAAAACGTTAGGATTGATTTTTGTGCACACAAAACCGAGTTAGATGGTGAAAGTGAAAATCATAATAAAAAGAATCATGGAGTGAAAATAATGATATCCACGAGACCAAACCGACTGAAGTACTTTTTCGATGCGTTAGAGATAACCCTATATTTTAATTTTTTTAGGGTTGAACTTATTAAGTTTGAATAGCAATTTTGACATAACAGCTGAGTTGCTTAAATTTATTTTTAAAATAGCTTCTTAAAAATTTTAGAGCTTTAATTGTATTTAGTAAATATAGAGCTTGTTTAGATGTGTTTTTAAAATGACCGAAAACGTACTTGGTGAAAATGTTTTAGAACCAATTCTTAGTAAAAATTCAAATAAATCTCGAAAATTGACTTAAAATACTTTCCGGAAGAACCACATAATTGGTGTTTCTTACAGAAAGCGCTTTAAATGCTTTTGGAACTTAAAAACATTTTATCTAAAAACATTTTCAATTGTTTTAAAATACATATAAACAAGTCCATATTTAGGGGGTGTATTCAATTGAAAATTTGAGAGATTTTAATAGATTCATAAATCTATGAATTTTTATGGAGTTTAACTGATTTGTATAGATTCCATGTAAAATTTTGATTCAATTCTCTCAAAATCTCATGGGGAAAAGTGAGATTTGTGGATGCTTAAAATACACTACAAAATCTCTCAAATTCCCTTTAATTCCTCAACATTTTCAAATTCTTTAAATTCAAATTCTAATTGAATATACCTGGAATGTTATAAACTTCTTTAAAATCCTAATTGAATACACCTGGATACCAAATTGTCATATCCCGACCCGGGGGACCACTTCCCGGGCCCGCTCCACCACCGTAGCACGATATTGTCCGCTTTGGGCTTACCATTCCCTCACGGTTTTGTTTTTGGGAACTCACGAGCAACTTCCCAGTGGGTCACCCATCATGGGATTGCTCTGCCCCTTCTCGCTTAACTTCGAAGTTCCTACGGAACCCGAAGCCAGTGAGTTCCCAAAAGGCCTCGTGCTAGGTAGGATGAGAATATACATTTAAGGATCACTCCCCTAGGCGTTGTGGGATGTCACAAAAAGAATTAAAATCCCTCAAAATCTTATATGAATACACACCCCCTTAATCTCTTCAAAAACCCCAAAAGGATTTTAGGGTTTTTGTCTTTGTTCCTAAAACCTTTTTGGGTTTCTGAAGTTTGATCATAACGTACCGAAAACTCCCATCTTCTTCTCATAGTTGTCTGATAAAACATCCGATGGCGTCGAAGATATTCACGGACTGTTCCTCCTCCACCACCCCTCGCCTCCTCCGCTTCAGACGGAACCCCCTCTTCCACTGCAACCACGGCGCCGTTTTCCTTCGCCCCCTCATAAGCCCTAGCTCCCCCAGACGCCTCTCCCTTCACTCCTCGTCTGCTTCTCCTTCGCCGTCTCCGTCGGCCACAGGTAAGCCTCTCTTCCCTCTCCTACATAGCAAATTAGAGTTTGAGAGCGTTTTGTTTTAGGCCGCATTTCATCGAACATGTGATGGGCTATGAATAAACCCCTTTGCAAAATTATAAAAGTAATTTCCTGAATGTCTTGAATTTTTCTGTACTACTTTAATTTTAATTGATCCATTTTGCAGCTTCGTTGGCTACTGAATCATCAGCAGCAGTGATCGATGGAAAAGGCGTTGCGAAGCAAATCAGAGATGAGATCAATGCCGAAGTGTCAAAGATGAAGGATGCGATTGGCATTGTTCCGGGTTTGGCAGTTATTCTTGTTGGGGACAGGAAGGACTCTGCCACCTATGTCCGCAACAAGAAGAAAGCTTGTGAGTCCGTGGGGATTAATTCCTTCGAAGTGCGCTTGCCTGAGGATTCAACTGAACGAGAAGTGCTAAACTCTGTCGCGAGATTCAATGATGATCCTGCAGTTCATGGCATCCTTGTGCAGCTACCCCTGCCTTCTGTATGCTTCTAAATTCCAATTTGCTTTCCATTTGTGAAATCATGTTGCAGTCATAATATAAATAACAAGTTATTCTAATGTTTTGAAGTCAAATCACTAGTTTTGCATAATTTCAAGCTCTTAGTTTATTCGATTTCGCCAATATCCTCGTTTAGAAAAACTGCTGGTCATGTAGGTGGGTGTTTTAGTTTCTTGAGAATGATTGACTCTGTTAACTGCTGTCGATGGATACTTTGTTGGTTCCATATGATGCAACTCTAGGTTGTTTTGCTTAGTCAGTTTCAGGGCCTGTTCAATTTTCAGTGTTTCCTTCAGGATTTCATCATATACATGCTTTTGGATAAGGGCATGTTTGGTTGCCCCATGGATCTTGCCTTCCTTTGTCCTCATGTCGTCACTAAAACGTCTAAGATTCATGCGATTTGCCATACGGGATGTGTGTGGTGTTCTTTATCACTTTTTGTGACCATGGAACTGTAGATGAATTTTCAAAATTATTAGAACTGCATTTGTTCAGCTATGATTTATGACTACCGAATCTAACTGTTTTCATCTGTATGCTACCAGCATATGAACGAGCAAAACATCTTAAATTCCGTTAGCATTGAGAAAGATGTGGATGGGTTTCACCCGCTAAATATTGGCCGTCTTGCCATGCGTGGTAGGGACCCCTTGTTTGTTCCTTGCACACCAAAAGGATGCATAGAGTTGTTGCATAGGTATGGCATCCCTATCAAGGGAAAGAGAGCTGTTGTAATTGGCCGGAGTAATATTGTTGGGATGCCAGCTGCTTTATTGCTGCAGGTGACATTTCATTTGCCTCAGTGATAAGTTATTTGTTTATCTTCTTGAGCTAACTTGATATCTAAATGTTGATAGAGGGAAGATGCAACAATCAGCATAGTCCATTCCCGAACCAAGAATCCTGAGGAGATCACAAGACAAGCAGATATTATAATCTCAGCTGTAGGGCAACCAAATATGGTGAGGGGCAGCTGGATCAAACCCGGTGCAGTAATTATTGATGTCGGAATCAATCCAGTTGAGGTGAGGAAGGCTTCATTGATACTCCTTTCATCGTGCTTTGCCATTTATTCCTTAAGCGCAGCATCTCTCTCTCCATTGTAGCGTTGTTAAATCTGTTGATTTTTAGAATGCATTAGACAATTCATTTCTTAAGCTTCTCTCACCCAATGTTTTTGGCTGACTTTCCTCAAGATTTGTGAACAAAATGAAGCACTGACTAGTTTGTTAGCGGCTTTTGAAAATCAGTGTTCTTAGAAAATGAGATTAGATGATTCGGTCATGCCATGTTGATGTTTGTCGATGATCCAAGGTAATAGGTATTGAGCTCATTGCGTGTATAATTTTTACAGGATAAAAAAAGCCCTCGAGGTTACCGGCTGGTCGGAGATGTGTGTTATGAGGAGGCCAGCCAGATTGCTTCAGCAATAACTCCAGTTCCTGGGGGAGTGGGTCCAATGACAATAGCAATGCTTCTCTCGAACACTCTTGCATCATCAAAACGAATACACAACTTCCAGTGAGACGTTCAGAGTTACTGTTATGAGCCCGTTTCAGTTGGAGAAGCCATCTTAACCTAGATCTGAAGCAACTGTTGTTTTCTGTCGCGGGAACATTTTCTTTGTGTGCTTATCGGCTGTCACCATTTGAAATCGAGAGTTGTCTTTGGTCAAACGAGCGAAGGCTTGGCCGGACAGTATTAATGTATTTATGGTAGGGAGGTTTATGCAGCAGAGACTCCATTTTCAAGACTCACCTCTGATACGAAAAATCTTGGAAGGCGTCCTCTCTACAGAAAGTGGAGATAAGGTTTGCAATCTTCATGTAAAAAGTGACGGTGATACGCACCACTCTTTTTATCATCGTTGGATGGGTTTAAATTTCGAGATCTGTGATTATTTCAAATTTTTTCTATCTAATTGTAAATTTAAGGAGTCACTGCCCGAAGTTTTTCTCATGTTAAATGTGTGGCCTAAAAGTTAAATGTCAAATAAAAGCCAAATTCTCTCCAGAATTTAGCCCAAAAAATGATGTGGACATCACTAGTGGGATCCCATCCACATGGCCATGTCTCCTAAGATTTATTGAATTCAATGGCTGAGATTGAATATAATCAAATTTAACGGTAAAAAAATATCTAATGGTCCAAATTTAAATCCAACTATTAAAATAATTAAAAAATTTATTTAACTCAAAATTTATCCAAATTTAGTGATTTTTTAATATTTATATGAATTTAAATATTTTTAGGTAAAAATGTTCATAAAATTAAATTATGATAGTGTACATAATTTAAAAAATAATAGTAATTTAAAAGAAAAAATTAGCCTAAAATGATTCTTAAATAATCTTGGGTTAAAAAATTTAGGTCAGAATGATTGGATCAGAAAAGTTGTTTCTAGACTAAAAATTTTAGATTTTAACCCAAGAGTTAGAGTTGGTCTTATGGTGCTTTTATTAATGCCCAACAAAAAAATTTGAACTTTCCCTATGCCTTTATTTATAACTTTCTAACAAACCAATTTTTTTTTTAATACAACAATATTATTTAAACCAAGCAGAATACTGCTTAACCGAATTATTCACTTATTCTACCAGAAAATAAAAATCTCATTTATTTAAAAAAAAAAAATATATATATATATATATATATTTTTTTTTTTTAATTAGTTAGAGCGCCTTAAACCCTCAAAACTCCAAAACCCATCGTCAATTCGTCATCGTGCTCGTCTTCCTCTCCCTTTACTCTTCTTCTTCCTTCCAACTTTAATCTCCGATCAGGGTAATACAGGGGCATTTTCGGAACAAAAAAAGGAGAAAACAGCCAGACAGATTCTCTGATTCGTGGGAAATAATGGGTTGTGCGACGCTGGACCTCGCCGGAGCTGTTTCTCTCAAGCTCAACAACGACACCCACTTCCTCCGCTTCTCTCCGAAGCCTTTCCTCTCCTTTGTGGAGCTCATCCGCTCTCGCCGCCATCCCAACGGCCCCCCTTCCAACATTCTCAGCTGTCGTGCTGACAAATCACGGCCGTCCATTTCCCTTCGTGCCCAATCAACTACTACTGTTGCTCCTGGTAATTCTGGCAAAAAATAAAAATACCCCTCTAAATTTTAATTCATTTGATTTTATTGCCTTCAAGTTTTCATATTTTTTGGCTAATTTTCTCTGATTTTTGGTGATTGGTTATACTACGGGAGAAGAGCGGGTGGTTGTTTTGGTGATTGGTGGAGGGGGAAGGGAACACGCTCTTTGCTACGCATTGAAGCGGTCCCCTTCCTGTGACGCTGTCTTTTGCGCTCCTGGCAATCCCGGAATATCCAGCTCCGGGGATGCCACTTGTATTTCTGACCTCGACATCTCTGATAGCTCGGCAGTCATATCGTTTTGCCAGAAATGGCGTGTGGGGCTTGTCGTTGTCGGACCTGAGGCCCCTCTTGTTGCTGGTCTCGTGAATGATCTGCTCAAGGCTGGAATCCATGCTTTCGGCCCTTCATCTGAGGCTGCTGCTTTGGAAGGGTCCAAGAACTTCATGAAGAGTTTGTGCGACAAGTACGGAATACCTACTGCTAAGGTTTGTTCATTACGTTTGATATTATGTTACGAAAGAGCGTTGTTAATTCAAATATTGCTTGATTATTGTAATTAGAACAAGAAAACATTAGGGAAAACGAATGCCGTGTCAAAATGAATTTGCCTTTGCTTTCATACAAACAAGAGTTAACTAATGCATTGATTAATTGATGCAGTATCAAACGTTTACAGACCCGTCTGCTGCAAAGCAATATATACAAGAGCAAGGGGTGCCTATTGTTGTTAAAGCAGATGGATTGGCTGCTGGAAAAGGAGTTATTGTCGCTATGACTTTGAACGAGGCTTTTGATGCTGTTGACGCAATGCTAGTAAAAGGTTCTTTTGGGTCTGCAGGTTGTTGTGTCATTGTTGAGGAATATCTGGAAGGTGAAGAAGCGTCTTTCTTTGCGCTGGTGGATGGAGAGAATGCTATACCTCTGGAATCTGCTCAGGACCATAAACGCGTTGGGGATGGTGATACGGGGCCAAATACTGGTGGAATGGGTGCATACTCACCTGCTCCCATCCTAACTAAAGAACTTGAAGATTTAGTCATGAAATCCATCATTTACCCCACAGTGAAAGGCATGTCAGCCGAGGGCTGTAAGTTTGTTGGGGTTTTATACGCTGGACTCATGATCGAAAAGAAGTCTGGCCTACCTAAACTGATAGAGTACAATGTGCGTTTTGGAGATCCAGAGTGTCAGGTCAGTAAACAGACCACTAGTAGATACCTATATATATATGTTTTATTCGTTGATTTTAAATGCGGAGGATTAGGATTTACTTGAACTCTCATACAATCATTGTTTAATGCACCTCGTGTTCCTTTTACCATTTGTGAAGTCTTTATCAAGAATTTTTTGCTAATTTTATAGCCAACAATTTAGGTTCAGTAATTGAAAGGTCATCTACGTCTGTCTCCGGTTCTTTTCCGAATACTTTTCTTTTTATTGAAGGAATGGGTTGTGGAATGAGTTTGATGAAAATTTGAATTGATCTTAGTATGAATGTTAGGCTGGTGTGGGAATGGGAGTATGTATTATTCTTATAAAAGGAAAAAGATGGAACTAACTGAAATGAGTTTAGTGAGACAGGAAACTATGATGGCAAAAGGCCAATTTCATTTGGATGCGGTATTTGAAGTTTTGATGGATTTTGTGTTCTTATTTTTTCTTCCTGTTTATGTCCACCTTCAGTGTACTGGTACTGGTTTGGGTTATATACCTCAATTGCTTGTTCAGCCGCTGTTTTTTCCCCTTAATCTTTATGCTATCCCAGTGCTACTTGGCATGAGTTATGTGGGTTATGTACACCATATGGTTGCATTTCTTTGCACTGTTCTCATACCTTAGAATAAATTCTGTTCGACATCTTTAGTGTGGCCGTTACTTTTTGTGGTTTTCATGTCATAGCTTAATGTTGTGCGGTCAGCATCTTGTATAGTAGTTGATTTGAGGCAGGGAAATTGAGATTTGTCGTGTCTTGTTTAGATCATGTTGGTGTTGAATAAAATGTTAACAACAGTTTTGGGTGCTTGTTTGGCTTTAATGATAAACAGGTTTTAATGGTTCGCTTGGAGTCTGATCTGGCACAAGTTCTACTTGCAGCTTGTAGAGGACAGCTAAGCGAAGTGTCGTTGAACTGGTCGGCTGGGTCAGCCATGGTGGTGGTAATGGCAAGTAAGGGGTACCCGGGATCATATGAGAAGGGAAGTGTGATCCGGAACCTTGATGAAGCAGAAGCTGTTGCCCCATCTGTTAAGGTATTTCATGCGGGAACTGCACTGGATTCAGATGGCAATTTCATTGCTGCTGGAGGGCGTGTCCTTGGGGTGACCGCTAAGGGAATAGATCTCAAAGAGGCACGCGATCGGGCATATCAAGGCGTTGAAGAAGTTAATTGGCCAGGAGGGTTCTACCGCCATGATATTGGCTGGAAAGCCCTCCCTCTTCCTCAGAAACAATTTGTGACAGGAGGTTAAACATTTGTACTAGAAAGGGGAGAATTTGGGGTGTTCCTTTTCAAATGGGAGGTTAATACTGGCTAAACGAGTTGTCTGTTCATCATGGTTAATATATGTTTGCGTATTTGCGTTACAAGTCATTTTTTTTTTTAGCACAACCGATACCAGAGATTATGGTACCAGAGAATGTGAGATTATAGTAAACGCTTTTAACCGCTTGAGCCAAAAGTCCTTACCTAATCAAACTCTAAAATTAAAAAGACAGCTTATTTTCTTCTTTTAATTGAAATTCTCGAAGCAATGCCCATGGTATGTTCACGTCTGTCAAAATTTGTATACTTTTAAAGGGTACATTTGCATTAGTTAATTGCTCCACAAGAGACTTGTGGAGCATTTGTTCCGGCCACGGAACAAAGCACTAAAAATCTCAATTATTCAAAGCGTTAAAAACCTCATATGTTAAGTAGCATCTGTGTTCCAGCCACGGAAACCTGTTTGTTGTGCTCGCCTCTACGGTCAGACAACCTTAAAATTCAAATACCAACACAAATTCTTTATAATACGAGCACTGCAGCTCTTGCTTCCTACAAGCATACCACCTTTACAGTTGATGGCACTATTTGTTTCAGCTCTTTCGTAGCACGATCCTTCCTTGCACGATCACTTTCCAATTCTTCCCGTTTCTCACAATGCTTTCGATATTGTCACAATCTTTTATCACCAGGTACTTCAATGGGAATTGACAGACCAACAACTCTCAGTATAAGCGAATCTGGCCAATCGTTCGAGAGCTGGACAGTTACACAAAAAGTACTCGAGACCTCCACCAGCAAGACGAACATTTTTGAGCTTTACAGCTCTGAGGAAGTTGGAGCCAACGTCGATGCAAGGTTGTAGACTAGGAATGCCACCTAAAAGTTGGCGGGGAGAAAAAGTAGAGCATGGTACATGCACAGAACCATCATATGCCCGGAGGATATACTTTTGAGAAGTTAAACTCAAGAATTTGAACTCTTTTTTTCATTGCAAATCGAGTCCATTTATCAATGGAACTTGAAAATCTTCCATTTAGGTTAAAATTAACCCTAAATTGTTCGATACTCAAGCCTCGGTGTTGTTCCACAGTACTATCCACCCACCTGCCGTACCTTTTCCTTTTCAGAACTTTAGGTGTGTGTTTACGTATTTGTAATTGGAATGAGAATGTGGAATTGAATTCCGATTACGGAGTACTTCGGTGTTTACTAAACATGGAGGAATCAAAAAAGCAGTGGGGCCCACACAAATTTTGGAATTCAATTCCTTGTATTGGTGGAATTGGATTCCCTAGATATAGGTGGTAATCCAATTCCTGATTGTTTGGGCAATCGGAAGGACATTTTTGTTCCTTTTATGCCCTCACTTACTTTTTTTATTTCCATGACTATCCTTTATAAACCCATTAAAGTACATAAAATATTTGATTTGGGACAAAGGCATTTTAGTAATCATATTAGTTTATACTCCGATTCTGCTGAATTAGTAAACAACTTTATAGAATTCTATTCCGATTCCAGAACATTTAACTAAACAACTTCAGCAGGAATCTGATTCTAACTTCTCCTCGTTCCAACTCCTCCTTAATTCAATTCTTTCTCAATTCAATTCCTCATATTTTCATTACTGTTACCTAAACGCGCCATAGGATCAACATCAAAATCAAGAGTCCGAGTAGATGTCCATGCATACCTCCATTGCGTAGAGAGGATACGGGTACCTGCTGCTTCTCTTAGCGGCAAGAGAGACACTATGCTAACAAGAACTTCATCTGGCGAGTCGCTGATCCGGTCCGCCATCACCAACCCACGTTTTCGTTTCGTCATTTGGAAACTAGAAGCGAAATGATCAGAGTAAACAAGAGTAATATGACCCTACACCCTATATAGAGCACTTGGTTAACTGGACCGGCACTTTTAGAATATGGAAGGATGAAGAGATAGGGTGGAGCTTTAATGCAATGGACGGCACATTGCTTTGGTGGATTTCATGCATTTGTTCTTATTGGAGTTGGTCGCTCCCGCTACATTTATCTTACATGGGGGAGTGCATTTTTGCTCCTCTTGATTGTCGTTAGATGAGTTTAAATTTCAAAATTTATATAGTAGATCAAACTCATCTAACGATAATCAATGATATTGGCGGAAGAGAAATTGGCCAGGAACATTCTACCGCCATGATATTGGCGGAGAGCCCTTCCTCTTTCTCATCAACATTCATGACATGAGGGTCAAAACTAAAAGAAAATTGTACTACTGCCCATAGAGAAAAAAATCTCACGAAGGTTCAAAATTAAGACATTAAGTTTGAATCACAGATTTGCTTAAACATGACCTAAGCCCGAGCCGAAACCCAAGCCCAAGAACGAAGCCCAAGACCAAGCCCAAGGCCTTTGAGAAAACGAAGTCGACCAAAAAAATAAAACAGAAAAACCTTAACCTAAAACCCGCCTCTTTCCTTCTCCTCCTCTTCCACTTTCAGACTCCCAGTCTTCTTCTTTACACAGAAAAACCCTAGCTCTATTTTCTCCAAGTAAAGGTACACCCTACTCTCTCTCTCTCTCTCTCTCTCTCTCTCTGTGCATATATATATATATATATGTAATTAGCGGTGATTTTTGTTATGTTTTGTGCTTTAATTGTTATCACGGAATGGTGATCTCAGATTCCTTCAAGTTATGACGTTTGCTTGCTCTCTCATGAATCCTAAACTTCTGTTTGTTTGCTGAGAAGATCGGTGGGAAAATTCGAGTTAAAAAGAAATTAGAGCTCGTTTAGATTCATTGGATTTTGATTGCGTGAGTTTGTTTGGGATTTTTTTTCGTGCTCTGCAGCACTCATGTAAATGTTGTCAATTTCTTGTAGTTGGTATATTAATTTTGTCCAAATTATTTTATTTCATTTCATTTGAGATTAGTAACAAATTATTGCATATTCGCAGCAGGGAGATGGGGGCCAAAGCGAAAAAGGCGATGAAAAAGCAATTGAGCAAAGCCTCTGCTCAATTATCAGCTTCTTCTCACAAAAATAAAGAAGCTGCTGCTTCTGCTGCTCCTGCTACTGCAATTGTCCCTGCTTCTACCGCTGCTGATTTCTTGGTAATGCTTAGTTTAATCCTATTTATTATGTATTTGTTTATTTTCCCTTTCTCTTTTGGTTGTGTTATTTATTGTTTTGGTGGTGAATTTATGTGTTAAGCCATTAGAAGGCGGTCCAGCGCGGAAACTCCCCCAAGAAAAACCCACGGAGGATGTTGCTACTGTTTTATACATTGGTCGGATACCTCATGGCTTCTATGAGAAAGAAATGGAAGGTGTGCAATAGAGATTGTCAAATGTGATGTATTTGAATGAAGAACAAATGTTTTGTAATATGTGCTCAAGGTTATTGCTATGTTTATAATTGTATACCTGCTAAAACTGCTGATTGGATGTTTTTCATAGGATTTTTTGGGCAATTTGGTTTGATTAAGAGATTAAGAATTGCGCGTAACAAAAAGGTTAGGCTGCTGGACCACAACTATGCTACTATATATATGTTTTCCCTATTTTTTAAGTTCCCAATTGAAACATCTTTAGCTCCTTGTAACTGAAGATAAGTATAATGTTTATCACTCTTGAACGTAATTCTACAACACCTTCTTTCCTCCGTGACTTGTCAATATTTGCAGATCAAAGATCCCTTTCATTTAGTATGCGGTATCATAGTTACAGGAATTATTATGTTTTTGACATTTTTTAACTCTTTTTTTCTTTTATCTATGTTCAATAGACAGGGAAATCAAAGCATTTTGGCTTCATTGAGTTTGAAGACCCTCAGGTTGTATTCAATTTCTTAGAACTTATTATCTAAACTCCCAAACATTTCCTTTTTTTTTAGCGGTGCTAACACTACCTTGTTTGCAGGTAGCGAAAGTTGTAGCTGACACTATGCATAACTATTTGTTGTTCGAACACGTGTTGCAAGTCCATCTTATTCCTCCGCAGAAAGTTCACCCAAAATTGTAAGTAATTATTTGTTTATCTTTTATTATTATATGAGAGTTAATTTGGCATCAAAGATAGTTTTGTTTATAGTAAATCTAATGTGTGTTAATGTGGTTAAGCTGTTCAATTTTTCTTTAAAAGATTTATCATACGACTTGGTTCATCTGTGTGCTTTGAGTCCCGAGTGGTAATCATTTCACATTCAGTTTTCTGCATCACTTGAAACTTAGAACAGTGAAAAACCATAAATAGGAATGGAGGGAAAAGATGCGAGCAAAGTTAAGGGGGACTTTTATTGTAGGAAAAAGTTTTCAGGGTTTAAATTCAATGTTTTGAAAAATAGATCATTCATCAAACTAGCAGAGGGAAAGGGTAGGGCCAAGGATCAGTGGTTCAATTGTACGTTGGTTGCTGGGTTGAGAATTTCTTGCGTTCCCCATTACTGATAGTTTTTGTTGCTGTAAATGCTCACTATTTGTGTCTTGTTTAACTTTAGATGGAAAGGTTTCAACTACCGAGTCAGACCCGTGAACTGGGTTCAAATTGAGCGGAAGAGACAAGACAAGGTATTCAGTGAAAACATGAAAAGCAACTTCTAGCAAGTTCTCCCATTTGACATTGCACAACAAACCTGCAAGGACTTTCAACTTATTAACCTTTTCCTTGTTGGGTGGTGATTTTTCAGGAAAGAACAGTGGAAGAGCACAAGAAGTTAATGGGGAAGATTGTGAAGAGAGATCTGAAGCGTCAAAAGAAAATTGAGGCTGCTGGTATTGATTATAAATGCCCAGAAATTGTAAGAATCTGGTCCTACTTACGGTTGTATATATTCTTTTCACTGTTGGAAGGTTGTTCGTAGTTGTTTTTTGTTTTCTTCATGTTGGTACTTGACAATTCATCGCACCTGCATTTCTTTGTGGTTGATTTAGTTGTTAATATTGCACATGTTTTCGGTTCCTGGCAGGTGGGTAGTAGTGAGGAGCCTGCTCCAAAGAAAAGGAAGACCGACCGAAAGAAGGTATGTCATGTTCTCTTTGTACCATTTTCTGGAAGATAAAACATATGTTGTCATCTCATCTCGTCTCTTCTATGGCAGGTTGTTTCTAAATGATGAAGCACACGCTCTCGTCTTGGTCCCACCCCTAAAACCGGGAAAGAGACAGTTTTGGATATCAGAATTGGTCTTGGGTTTTGAATCTTATTTGTAAGATTTTACAAATATAACGTAGTTTTTCTCATGACCTTTTCATCACTCTTCATGTATTGTAATCGTGCATTTTTTATCGACAAGTTTATGGGAACATCTTCAGTTTCAAAGTCAATTGTCAAGTTTTTCTCCTCTGATTTAGGCATTACGTAGTTAGAAGTGTTTATGATTCGCGAAAGTCCTCCCTCTGGCCTAGTAGCTACTGCTACTTTCTGTTGTGGCAGCGGAAAATAGACACATGGATCGCTTGTATGTACGTGTGTTTATGTGCGGCCGCAGACCCAAAATCTTAGGAAGAAAAACACAGGGAGACAGTGAATTTAAGATTTGCTTCCTAGGATGTTTTAATACTTAAAATGTTCTCTTTCATGCACTTCTCCCTTAGCGTTGAAATGTTGATCGACTTAATCCTAATATCGCAAATAACACGTGGTATAATACGTAACAGTCTTGAACTAAAATCATGAAAAAGAAACAAAAAGGAAAGGCTTCGAAATCCCCGAGTTGCAGAAGCTGTGCACCTCATTGCGAAATGTCAAGAGCTTGCGTACCCACAGCATACATTGCCCCTACAGATATTTTCGTGCAAGAGCACGAACTTTTGTATCAAAATGTGATGACGCAATTCGTGAACCAGGCAGGTAGAGAGGATTGAGAAGAGTCTGCAAATCCACAAACATCTTGTGAGTCAATGATCAATGCCTTTCTGTTATGAAACGGAAGTTTACATTGCGAAATGGAGACTGTGTAATGAAGTAATCAAGAGTGTTTCGACAAAACTCTTAAGATTTCATGAACTGACATGAACTAGTATCGTTGTTTGGATTCGCAAGAATAAAAGGAAAGACAAAAACTCTGTATTTACATATTTTCTTTTTGCACATCATTCAGTGATATTGCCAGTGAGTTTCGACTCTCTAACTTCGATTACTATTCATCCAAGATACCACCAGATGATCTTCCTCACAAGGAGTTACATTTTAAAAAATGTGGCTCTATTTGCTGGTATCAGAGGATACTCGGAACACTAACGAGAATATGTGTCGCAGTCAAAAGGTTTCCTAGGCACTAACAACTGACCATGAGCACTTCTAAATGAAACATGTGTAGGCAATGTAACTACGTACTTTCTAAGGAGAGCTAGCCCTTCTACTACATTTCATAATTACAGAACGCATAGCAGAAATATATAGTTAGACGACATAGGGAATCCACAGAGAACACATCAACCAACAAGAACCCACGGATGTGTAAAAATGAACTTAAATAAAAGGGCTGATGGTATGTAGTGACTTACTTTGATGTAAAGCTCATGAACCTCTTGGAAGAAGCTCTTGATTCCATCATCGTTACGAGAGTCATGAAGTAGCATAAGTCGTGTATGTATGTCTAGTTAAAGAAACTGTCAAACTCGAAACTGCACAGTACCTAACAGAGTACAACATAGGCACAACACGGGAAGCCCTTTCACTCAGCCTTCTATCAGGTTGAAAAAATCCAAATAACAGCGAAGTTCGGAAATTGAAAAAATACAAATAACAGCAATGTTCGGAAGTTAAAGATACTTTCTTGATTTGAAAAACGACGGAGTTGCTAAAGAACTGGCGCAGAAAATAACACATCCGTGAAAACATACAATTCTAAGATAGGTGAAGGTGAAACATATATTTGAGTTGGAAATACAAAGGATATGACCAGCTGTAACATAGACGGAAACCACCAAATCATTAAAGCGATCGATTGCTTTCAAGTACCTGCACCAAGAATGTTACAAAGATCAATAATATACGCGTAAACAAGTTAAGGGAAGAAGAAAGGCATGGAGGGTACAGAAAAAGTGGCTGGCTCACATGGCACTGGTAGTCCAGGCAAGGTCCTGAACAATGTCGAGAGCCGCATGTAATATGAACTGATGCAACTGTGCAGCATCTTCTCTCTGTGTCAAGTGTCAAACCAACACCCATTACCCATCCAAGTATTTAGCCGTACAAACATAAATATTTAGATGAATTTACAAATTATTAACTACATTGCCTAGAGCGGATGTGCTCCGCTGTGCACCCGAGTTCGAATCCCCCTCCCCACAGTTTAGATTAGTTTAAAATAGAACATCAAATAAATAAAAAAATTACAAAAACTAAAGAAAATTGAAGCGAGCATTGCCGATGCAGAGAGATTGCCAAGAAATGAAGAAACCCAGTTTAATTAATTGAAATTGGATTGAATTTGACGAGATTATATTGTCAGAATGAATCAAACAATGGAAAATCAGAACAAAATTGCAATTGGAATTAGAAATTGAAAGGGAAGAAAAAGAAAGAATGATACTTTGGCGGCGGATCCGACTTCAGCTTCGTAAATAGGGATGTCGTTTCTGCTGACGATGATGAAACACGCCGTCGTTGCCATCTGCTCTGTTTTCAGTCCGACTTCCGACGAGTCACGGAGACGATGAAGGCATCTCCAATGGCGGGGTATATTTGTCACAAATCCAATCTCCAAATGTGGGCTAAATAGAATTTGACTGAAAAGGCCCAATTGGCCCAAAAGGTGTACAAATGTTGCAAGCACGAGGAGGGATAACACGCGATGCGGTGCATGAGGTGCAATGCACGCTCGAGAATTGACGGGTCAGATGTATGGTACGTTCAAATCTAGCAGCTGTTGTCGTCTCAGTGGAGCTCACCAGGTTGCCGGTAGTTGGGTGAGGGGAATTTGGCATGTATCAGGTCATCTTCAATAAAAAGGGCGAAAGAAAAAAAAGAAAGATCTAATTTGGACAAAAGTCAACTTCACCAAATGACTACTAAAAATTATAGAGTTCATCAGACAAAAACACTATCAAAGAGGCATTGAGCTGGCTAAACTTAGCATGATTCTCACCTCGTTTGATGGGCCCCAGCAACATTTGCTGCAATATGCAATTAAATCCAATGGCCAGATATTAAAGAATCCAATGGCCATAATTGAAATTTTCTTAAGGCGGAAATTATTAAAAAAAATTCTAAAAACTCCTAATTTCTTCTAGCCTTATCTTAGGGGTTATCCACCCTTCTTATTCTCACCCTACCCGTAGTGAATTTTGGTTGGTATGAGCATGAAAACTCCGATTCAAGGTTGTCCTTACCATACCTAGCTGAGGGAAAGATAGAAGGATGGAGATCCATCAATGAAACAAGTAAGGCTAGTCGATTTCCAAGATTTTAGTAGCTCTGGTTGGGAGATGCAGCCACAAAGCATGGATTTTGGTCCGATTCATTGAGATCACCAGCCTCCCACCTATCTAGGCGTTATCCCCATGGCGAAGCATCGAGTGTTAATATGATATGTATAGTAAATAAGGGAATCATACCTAAAAAGAAGGCTTATTTTTAGCTATCACATTTGGAACTTCATTATAATCTTACTTTGCTCTCTGTAACTCAAAAGTCACTTTACTCTCTACTCAAAATTCGTTTCACTTTGATTTCTGGACTCTCTCTTTTTCTTGAAACTTATAGGTTGTCTTCTGAAGCATATGTGGGACCCAGCACTCAGTAAAATTATGCCACATGTGCAATAAATTTAATTATAAATCTTCAATATGCGTTTACATTCAACAATCAAAGAATATTAAGTGTAAAAGAAATTGAGGAGATGAAAAAATAAAAAAGAAATTGATTAGCCTGGTGCACCCAAATCAAGCTTACATAAGAAATTCACAAATCCCAGGTAATGTAGAGCAAATTTTAAGTTTTATAGGATCGACTTTCAAGTTTCAGGAAGCATAGTGGAGTGAACTTTGAGTTTGAGAGAATAAAGTGATGACTTTTGAATTATAGAGAGCAAAAATAAAATTAAAATTGAGTTCTAAAAAACGTAGCTGAAAATAAGCCTAAAGGGAAAGAGATTAGTCTTCGGCAACCTGTAACTGGCAATCCCCATAAGACTAATCGAACACCTTCCTTCCCTACACGGCAATCAGACTCAGCCACCAGCAATCAAACCATGACGTCGGGTAATTACTAGTTTCCGGTTGAGCTGGAGCAATTAGCAAAACACTACCAAATGAGAAATTATTTTCACATAAATTATTCTATTTATTTTATAAATTTTGTTCGTTTTGTTTGATTATTTTCTTTTTATTCATTCATTTCAAGTGATTTCAATGCACTTTTCTTGTTCTCTTGCACATTTTCTTTCGTCTTATTTTTGGTCTTTAAAATGAATAAATTTAAGAAATTAAAATTGGGAGATAAAAATAAACAAAAATATGAAAAAGGAAAATAAAAGGGGTACAAATATCATTAAGGCTAATTAGTACAAGGTAAAGAAGCATCCTCTACAATAAGAACACTAATTATAATAGGAGGTTCATCTACCCAAGTACAATCTTCCCCAACATAGAGGACAAAACGAGCCAGGCAATGGGTTACTGAGTTTGCATGACGGCGGATCTGGGCAACCGAAGCTTCAGCAACCATAGACATCAAGAATTTGGTATCGTCGATGATAGGTCCCATGGGAGACAAGTTCGTCAAAGACTCCTCCACTGCCGAAATGATCTGAAGCACATCACTCTCAATATCAATCTTAATTAATCCCCAATCAACCACCAATTCAAGACCAACTCGCCTAGCTAGTGCTTCCACCTGGATAGGGGAAAACACATCCATGAACATACGGGTAGCCGCACCCACAAAATTTCCTTCAACATTTCTGATTATTATCCCAGCTCCACCTAAGCATTTGTCATCATCCTAGGGCTCCCATCTACATTGAGTTTCAATCTGCCAGTTGGAGGACACGACCACCGAGGAGGGACACCATGGCTAACTGGTTCGGAGGGAGGGCAGGTGACGCGTAGAAATCCTGCCACCAGTTCACGGCTCAACCCATAACCATCGTAGGACTCAGATTAGGAACATCTCCCCAAAGTATAGCATTCCTAGCCGTCCAAATCACCCAGAATAGCTTAAGGATGCATTCAAAATCTGACTTCACTAAACTTTGCCACATTTGCAGTGTCCATTCTTTCAAGGAGCATCTATTCCAATGAGAAATGTGGAACTTTAAGGGTGAGACTCACCAGATATCAATTGCGAAAGGGCACTTAAGCATAAGGTAATGCATCGA